CCCGCCTCCCCTGCCCCTTCCCCAGCCTTTAAAAAAATATCTACGTTGATGCCAGGGGAGTAAATGAGCAATAACGATAATAAAAAACAACCTCTTCGCTAGGCAAGGCCTCACTTAAATGCATTTAAGTCACTTTTTGGCCGCCCTCCTCCTCCTTGAGTGCTGGTTAAGCCGCGGCGCCCGGCGCAGGTTTGCTGCTGCCATCTGTCATCAGCCAAACCTTCTCCTCCAGCTGGCAACGCTCCTCTCCAGTGCTCGCGGCTATAAATACAGGGGAGAGCAACCTTATACCCCTCCGCAGCCCCTGCTTTCCTGCGTAACTCGGAGCCAGGTCTCCCTTGGAAGGAAAGCCCGACCAGACATCGCCCGGGACAGGCCGTCCTCCCGGCAACGATGGGAGCAGGGCCCGCGCTCCAAGGAACGTTGTGATTCCCTTGGTTTGCCTCCAGCTTTCCAGCAGGGCACGGGAGCTATTTTTGACCAGCACTGCCCCCCACGTCAAATTCCTGGAGGCCCCAGCAACTTGCAGCTATTTTGATCCTGCTCTGATCTTGTCGCCTGGGTTCAGCAACACAGGAGCGTTTCGGCTGGGGGAAGCAGCTCAGCACCCCTGGGTGCTCTTTGCCTGTTTCTTCCGTTCAACGTTTAATGCTCTGCAGCAGGCTACGGTTAAGGTTTGCCTCCGATGCACCACGAGTTTTTGTTTGTTTGTGTCGTTTTCAGATCATGGCCGCAGCATAATTTTGATGCCCAAAGTTCCTCAGTGCTTCCTGCCTTCCTAAAGACACAACCGTGCTGTAGCGGCTTCCTCAAGCCTAGGACAGAAATGATTACCCACGTTGCAAGTTCCTTCCCTTCACAACTGCTGTTTTAAGAAACAGCGATTTCCTGCTGCTTCCCGGGAAGCCGGTGCTCCGACAGGAGCGGAGCGGCGGTGCTGAAGCCTCCCCTGCTGGCTGAAGGGAAGGTGCGAGGAGAGGAGGTGGATGCGGCTGCAGCACCGAGCTGGGAGCAGGGCCGCCTTGCAAGGCGGCTCCTCCATCCACATGCCCAGCGGGAACAAGGACAGCGGCAAAACCGGCAATCACCCAAATATCCGCTTTTTAACCTGGAAGCCTCCCAGAGGGAAGCCCACGTCCAAGGAGCCGGGGGCAAAGGCCCAAGGCGCCTTCCATGCCGGCCGCAGAGGAAAGCGGTGGCCATGGCCGCTTTGGCTCCGCCCGGGGTCCCACGTTCGCAATCGCTTCAGTGAAGCAAAACGCAGCCTAATTTAGTGCACGGCGCAATTAGCGCTTTTCTAGATGAGCCCTCGGCTCGCACGGCCGCCAACACTCACCCTGCACAGCGGCGAGCAGCAGCGGCCGGGGGCGTCGGGCTCCTTCCGCGCGGCCATGGCGGGACCCCTCTCGCCACGTCACATCATGGGCTGCCAGGAGAGAGGAACATGACAGCGGGGACATGGGGCCAAGCGGCCCCCAGCCACCGGCACCGCTTGGTGACGCGTTGGTGCGGCCAATGACTCCTACATCTCAGTGCTCTGATGCTCACGGTCTGGGTCCAAAAAGGAAGCCCCAACAAAGGCCCCCTTAGCCCTGGCTAGACTACAAATTAACCCCAAAACCTTCTTTTTTTTTTTTTTTTCATCATTACTCACAGCCAGGAATGGGGCAGACTGCGGTGCCTCCCAGGGTGAGCTACCCCAGGAGGGCCCTGCGGGCCGAACGCTGCCCAGCAAGAGGAGCAGCTCTCAGGACGGGCTGTGACAGCCGCCTCGGCCTCTCTCATCCCTTGTGGAGATTTTCCTCAGGAAAGTCTTGGATCTGTGATTTGTGCTTTGAAAAACCCAACGTGTTATTTTTTTTTCTCTCGTCCCCAACTCAGGAGCAGTGTCCTCAGACCATTCTGGCTCTCCTGGGACATTTCCCCAACCAATGCAAATCTAGCAGGGGTGTAATTTTCACGGGTGTTATTGCCCTGCTCAGAACAAGGCAGCGCCTCGGCCCTGTCCTGCTTCCCTCGCCCGCACTTCCCCAAGCAGGAGAAAATACCTGCAAAAAGGAGAGAAAAAGCAAAATCCCACCGGGATCAGCCTCCGCGGAGACGGGAGGCACGTGGTGCCACACGGCCGTGGAAGAGCAAAGCCATGGGGCCGAGAACCACACGGGTACCTACTTCGGCAGCCAGCGGCGCTCGCAGACATCATGCCCGCTGCTCCGGAGCACGAGCGTTCCCGGAATCGCCATCCCTGGGCCGCGGCACAACGGGCACTGTGCGGCGACAGCCGGGAAGCGCCGCTCCTTCCCCGGAGCCGTCCCCGTGCGCTCAGGGTCTCTCCCCGCCGGGGTTCTGGCGTTCGCCGGCGCGGCGCCCGCTCCGCTGCGCCGGTGCCGGGCGGTAAATTCCTTCGCGCTCCTCTGTGCGCTGCATTGTGCAGCAAAAGCGCTAACCGGCCCGCAGATGAAAATGCCACTTACTGCTTATCCCCGCTGCTGTCTGCTGAATTAAAACCCCTTTGTTTGCAAGCTGTAAACAAGTTCTTCTTAATCTTTCAATAAAAAAATGCCAGTTATGCCCTCCAACAATGTAACTTCGCTGCGATGAAAGGAGGCATTGCTGTTGCTCTAATCACGGTAACATATCAGCTGCTTTTAGAGTGAATTCCTTTTTGTGCAAAACTTAATGACCAGGCGATTATTTAAATTTCAGACTAACAAACTGGGCTTTCGACCTACACCGCTGCTCCCTTGCTCTGCAAACACACACTTGAAAGCAACAGCAAAGGGCCCCGACCAGGATTTCCGACGGAGAGGGCAGGAACGCTGCTAAAAGCCGCTGCCCGCGGCGCATGAGCCCTTCAGGCATTTGGATTTATTTTCCCCTCTCTCTCTCTCCTCTGCCTCGTGCCAATATTTATCCCACTCGCTTCCAGAACGTGCTCCCAAGCCGGCGCCCGCAGCTTTCCGCCCCGGCGCGCGCGGGAGCTGCACCTTCCTCGCTCCGTTAACCGCTCGCGCCCCGCGGGCCTTCCCGGCCTTGCTGCAGTGGCACCAAACTAGGAACAGCAACTACATTTATACGTATACTTATCTATGTGTATATATATACATATATGTATAAAAACACGTTCCAGAAAGCGAACTGAATTAACAGCACTGCAGCGTTTCGAGAACCGAAGCCTCCTGTTTTTTTGTCAGGCCTCAGCCACAGGTGCTGGTGCAGGAGAGGAATAAGGAAAACATTAAAAAAAAAAAACACCAAAAAGATCAAAATCACATGGGCATCCCCATCACAGACAAGTGCAACCTGTTGCCTTTCAACCACCCCATGCAACAGAGGAAAGGCGAGAGGGGGGAAATTATTAAACTGATTCTTGGTGCTTGAAGTTTTGCTGTCTGGCCGGTGCCGATGCCAGCAATCCCACTCCGTGCACTGCTCGGAACAAACCACAACAATAAGTTTTGTTTTGGCAGCACCTGCATTTTGCCCCCAAACTTCTCGATGCTGATGTGCTAATCTTGTCTATTATCCACTTCCCGAGAAAGGAGATTATGGTAATCGGGCTTTCTGGAGGATTTACGCATGATCCTCTATTTACTTTTGAACTTTGTCGAAGTGACAAGGAGTTTGTCATCAATGAGCTGCTGGATTACAAGTCAGGCTGCCAAGCAGGGTTTAAAATCCTCTCCTTGCAGATAACTGCAACCGTCTACTGGGAGTGAAGTGCAAACCTTAGCCCCTTCACCTCTGCCATACCTGGGATTTAAAGCTCTTTCGACTGTCCGTATTGAACATGTAACCTAAGGAAATAAGATCTGAACATCTGGAGAAAAAGCCATCCCTGTCCCCAAGAGGACAGTGCAACGCTGCTAAGTGCAAACAGTGCTGAACATTGGCTGGAAGTCCTTCACAACACACCAAAGTAAAATACCGCAAAGATACCCAAATCGGGAACACCCAAAAACCTAATTTTCCAAAAAAGCAAAGAAGGGGAAGAAGGGTCCCCAGAAGGTCCCTGCTCATACAGGGTCTCAGAGCATCCAAGAGAAAACCAGCCCTTGCACAGTTGCTATTGCAGGGCTTGTCTAGGCTCCCCACGGCCGCAGGTCCCGAGGCTCATGCACAACTGTGCAGCACCAGGGAAAAAGTCAGGCCCAAGCTTCATTTTCTAGGGCTCTATGGAATCCAAAAGGTAAAGAAAATGTACAGTCTGCTTATTCCCCTCATTTTTGACCCACCTAGGCTTAAGGCGCATTCGCCGACCCCACATTCTGCTGCCCCCCCCAAGGAAAAGGATTAACAGAGATAGGGAAATACTTGAGAGCAGAATAGCAGCTTCTGGATTAGGCACTTATCTGTATCATTACTGTTTTAAGTAATCCTGCAAAGGGTAAATGAGGCAGGAGACTTTTGGTCACACAAGCACACAGGTTAATTTTCCATTTTGTACCAGCAAGTCTGTCACCTTTGAATGAATAAGGAGATAAGCAAGGAAAAACAACCAGGAGAAACGGAGGTGCCCATTTCACACAACTGTTTTGCAGCCCAAACAGATTTGATACTCTTGGTATTTCTAGCACAGGAGCAGCAGACTCTGTAGCTGCTCTATATCCTCTTTTTTGCCCCCGGATGAGAAGCAGCCAGAATCCATCCAGCGTTAGTTTACGTTTACGCACACACAAATGCACTAATACATTTTGGCACAAGCTGCCCTTTTGTGGACTCACCTATTTCCCTCACATTCATTTATTAATCGCGTCCTTCGTACTTGGAGGAATTTCACATTCCAGTACACTTGCATCCGGTGTAGCGGAGGGGAGAGGAAGAAAAAGCATCACTGGCCAAGGCTTGTTAATTTATTTTACCTGCAGATTTATTGTGAAGTCTGTGAAGCACTGAATGAACACGTTGGCTAGATACATGCAACACGAGGATCTTAATATCCCTAGAACCAGACCAAGCCAAAACTAAACCCCCCAAATCCTAAGAAACTGGCTGATAAACTCAATTGTGGCGCAGTGACTTGATTAAGCCATTGTAAGAAGATATGTTGGAACTTCTTTGTTGTTTTTTTTTAAATCCTCACGTGCACTACAGATGAACTGCAGGAAGTGCAGCACTGAGTATCTTGCAGCATCCGTAGTGCCAGTGAATTCTCAAGCGCAGAAACACTTGAGCCAAGTTACCATAGGGCAAAAAAGAAGCTGCTTAGGCAAAAAGCAGCCTCTTCCTGAACACAGGTACCTCCAGCCAGCACTCAGCCATCCCTAGGGCATATGCCTGGCAACGCCGAGCCGACGTGGCCTCTTGTTTTTAGTTTTCTCCTACATTACGCAGCCTTTTCGCTACTGCGGTGATGAGGGCAGCTCCCTTCCCGCTCCCGTCTTCGGAGAGCATGAAAGTCACGTCACACTGCGGGGCCAGCTCCTTCACCGTTTCCCGCAGCACCCTGGAGAAACTGGAAGGAAAAGGAGAGAGGGGAAGACCATTTTAGCACCCTCTTCTGCTTTGTGGTCATTTCCACTTGTCTATTAGCAGGGAACCAAAACCTCAGCCAATGTCTTCCTCTGGTGCTCTATCTCATTCCTTTCTGTTTTCTTTCTTTTTTTTTTCCTTCTCCTTTCTGTACTACATCAGATTTTAGTTTCTATTTCTTCATCTTCATTTTTTGCAGTATAATGCCAGGCAGGGCCCTTGCTTTTAGAGACCACAAAGAGCCCATTCTCTTTCCCCAACTCAACAGCTAACGCCACTACTTCAAGGGCTTTCCTCATGATATACAGACCCAACCGCAAAAAGAACCCCAAAGCTTCCTACGTGAAAAGTCTGCATCCATTTAGGATCCTCAAACACTGCAGAAATCCTCCAAAACACTGGGAAAAATTCCATATTAAAATAATAGGTTTGCTACATGCCCCAGAGAGCTCCAGCCTCCCAGCAGAGGAAAGCAAAGCGCAGGCAAGAGGGAAAGATGGGATATGCAGGGAGACACGTCGCGGGAGCCAGAAAGCAAAGGGCCCCGGGCACTCACTGCGGATGGAGCTTGTAGAGCGTCCCGTCCACTCCGACGGTGACTTCCAAGCGCTCGACGCCTTGGTTCTGCCTCCTCTTCTCCACGATGGCGGCGAGGCCGGCGCCGCAGAGGCGCGCGGCCCGCGCGGACACGGCCCCGCACACCTCCTTGACGACGATGCTGTCCTCGCACGTGCCGTCCAGGCCGAGCTGCTGCAGGATGCGCCGCACCTGCAGCAGGGCCAGGCGGTCGCTGGCGGAGGGAAACGCGGCCTGGTGTTAGGGGAGCGCGGGGGTCCCAAGGTCGCGCCACAGCAGCCACCTCCGGGGGTTATTTCTGATCCAAAGGGTGAGCTACTACCTTCAGAATCCCCCCAGTGCTGGGAGGGGTTTCAAACACCCTGGAAACTTGCAGAGATGCACGGCAAAGCCCATATTCACGATGGAAATACAGGCCTCGAAAAATAACAACTGCCATTTTAACTACCGATTTCAAGCGGAGAAATACTTGATACTAAGCCATCCAAGATAAAGTAGCCACATGGAAAGGAAATGATAATTTATATAATTACAGAATAATTCTAGGGCTTTCACAGTTGCTCGGTTCTTTTTGTGTTTTGTTTTGTCATGTCTTCCCCTTCCTTTTCCCTCACCACTGAGAGGGAAACTATAATGACTTATTGAGAGAAAAAGCTCTACAATTCTGCAGAAATAATATTTCCTAGGGGTTCTGAAGAACTTGAGGACTTACAACACGTAAATCTAATTAACAACTTTACCTCTCAATCTGAGACAGGAATTTGGTTTCAAATATGCCTCTTTTCCTGAGCGATTCTGAGATCTGTCCTCTGAATAGCAGTCCTTGTCTGGTTAAGTCGATCAAAATTTGCCTCACTATTTCCCCTAGATACATTCCACTCGTCATTTTTTCATACCTGTTATGAAAATATGTTTTTAAAGAGAGAACAAGTTAGCTCTGTTTAGCATAATCAGTGACAGATACTCAGTAACAATCTGAAAAGCAGTCAGAGCTTGCAGAACAGTATGAGCCTTTCAACCATCAGAAAAATCTGTCGCGGTGACTGTTGCAGGACTCACGGAAATGAGGACCACATCATTACCTCTGCTTCCCTGGATTTAGTGAACCTTCATCTACTTCTTTATCATATTCTGTTCTGATGTTGTCAATGCAGCCGTTGTCACCAAATCCTCCCCATTCGGTATTAATGCACATTTTCCCTTCATTCCCTTCCACGATTTCTATGTTTTTCATGTCTTCCATGTAGCACACATTGCTGCCTGTTCCTAGGAGGAAACAACAAGGCTTCAGCCAAAAAAGTGAAGCAGCAGCTGAAAAGCAAGGGAGATGATTGCGGTGATCTGGAGCTCTTCTCTAGATCCCAAATTCCAAAGATCTCCACGGATCTTACAGAAGCAACTGGCAGCCCTCACCCTGCGCACTTTGCGGTGCTACAATGGAAACGTCCCCAGTGAGATGGGGCTTGGACAAAACATTCCAAGAGCAGAGAAGAGAGAAGTCTCTGTTACCGCTACCAACTTGACTGTGTGTGGTACAGGTGATGGCACGTTCTCACCTAAATACCACATAAACCTGCCCAGATCTCCCAGTGACACCACACACCACGCTGTGGGGAAGAGACTTGCAAGAGATTTGCTTTACAAATGCTGAAATAGGGAATCAATCCCCCATTTTCATTTTACAGTGTTTGCTTCACTAATGCTGTACCTGCAATGAGGCCAATCTCGCACTTTGGGTCCTCGTAGCCACAGGTCATCATCGTCCCCACCGTGTCATTCACCAATGCCACAATGTCCAAGTCAAACTCCTGAAACGTAAGTCACAGTCAATAGAAAGGCCTGGGGGGAAGAGTGAGCACGCATTAAAAATATGTAGCTTGAAATATAGACATTTATTAAATAAATATAGAAAGCAAAAAAGAATAGCTCACGTTTCTCCTCTTGATAGCTTCTCTTAGCATATCGACAACATCTTCCCCCTCACAGTCCGTTGCCTTAAAACCTTTAGTCCAACCTACAAGCGTTCCCTAAAAGAGAAGAAAAAAATCTGCAAATGTAGAGGAACAGACATCATTAATTACCTTTTTTCCTTCTTCCTGCCCCTCCCCGTCTTTCTCTGTCCTTCCTCCTCCCAAAACACAGTGTTTTGCTGGCCAAAAAGGCAGGTTATTGCAAGGGCCTGGCGCGGGAAGCGTGTCAGCGTGTGTGTGACTTGCTCCAGGCTTACTTGCCTGTTTCTCAATGCCTGCCCAAGGCTCTCTCCTCCTTTGGTAAACTTTAAACCTCTTCATCTCACTCCCTTCTGCTCAATCACCCCCAGTGCCATTTGCAGGGGGAAAAAAAACTGCAAAAACTGCTGTCAATTGAGCCGCAAGTCCGGAAGTTGCTGTAAAATTCAACGGGACTTAAAAACCTTTTTATATAATTGCAGTTTCTCATCCCTCCAAGCATCCTACACATTTGGCCAGATTGGGCAGAACGCCTTTTTCCTACTCCCTTAGGAAAGGCAAAGGAAGTAAATAAATTCACTAAGATATTCTTGATTATTCTGAAGCTTTTCTCACATCAGCTCAGGACAGAGGAAAAGCTGCGATCCCTCAGAAAGCTGCACATGTCCAACCAAAGGGAGAGGTCCAGCCCTTCCACACTGTGAATAAGTGAGCTCAGTTCTGCCTACTGGCACTCGACAAAAGGAAACCGATGTAGTGGGAAAGTTATACAGCTCTGCAGCACAGCTAGGAGAATAGGCAGGGACTGTAGCTGAGGAAGGACAAGGAGGGGACTGTTCTCTCTTGGCATTACAGGAAGAAGGAATCTCTATGTAAT